GAAAAACAATGTTTCGAAGGCTTCCTTAATGATTTATTGTGGCGATATGCAATAGTATAGTATATTGTTGCACTTTTTAGTAATTTATGGTTTCTCATTTTGAAGATGTCTGCCACAGTACAGAGGGAAGCTTGGTATGAGCTCATCGAAGTTGCCGGATGGTGAACCGAGGACTTATTAGCATAACCCAACAGTCTCCACTTTAAATCTTCCAATCCTCCTCCGATTTCCAATCTGACGATTTCACAAATTTCTTCCAACCAACCGTTCCCTATAAAGGAAAAGTCATGTCGCTAGAAGTGGATATTCGCTTCTCTTCTCCATAGCCTTGTGTCTGAGCTACCAGTGCCTATCCCTGACTGATGTTGTTCTCTTTTTGATGTGCCTAAAAGTGTCTATTCCTCGAAGAGGTGCTTGATTATTCTCCTCTTGAAGGTACTCTTGCAGAGTCCCACATTAGCTCAAGTGATTGCGTTTGCCGCTCGCAAAATAGGTCTATTAGCCCTATTTCTGTTAACGTGATAGGGGGACTAGAATTATAAATGAAAAATACGTGCTTTTTTTCTTTTAATATGACAATAATAACTTTAAAATAGCAATATAACTAAATTGACCTAGAATACACATATCCTTGCTTTACATAGACTCTATGGAAGCCAGGTTTCCCTATTTCTCCAATCTTTCGCATGCCAACTAGCAAAGTGTACTGCACATGATCGTGCATAATGCATATGGAGTGAATAAGCCTTGGCCTTGAAGAACATAGAATGGGCAATCAGTTAAGGGAGATAATATATTACACTCGAGATGGCTGGCGCAACCTAGCAACGGGAAATTTCCATGCTGCCAGGATAGTCGTTAATTCATCAAGGCAATGGCGCTTAGGTTTAGGGCGTGGTACAAGTTGTAAGGAATAAGCAATTGCGAAAAATGAGTATCTATAAGGCATTTAAATTAAACAAATAACTAAGGCTTTAATAAGCATATGAAATTGTATAAAAATGCACCTAAAAAGGTAAAATGAGCCACACAATAAGTTTGTAAATTTCTGTATCTTTACGTGGTAGACAGGTGAGGAAATTTTACAAGGTTGCACCACAATTCTTGGAGCAATGAAGTCAAGTTATAGAATTCAGAGTAATTCGCCACTTGATGGCGCTAAATACGCATTAAAGTTTGTGGAGATTTTTGTTAGGTAAATAAATATTTTCAGTACTTTTAAAAGGGAATGAAATCAAAGGTATCCAGTTTGTGTGCTGTCCTACTAGTGTGAAAAGACGAATGCAGATTGAGGAATTTTAAGAAAGCCTAAAACCTGTTCTTAATCAGCAATGATTTATATTCTATTACTCCGATTTTGTAACGTTGCACACATGTTTGTTTACGACTTTAAACTTTTAGTTTTCTTCTATAAGTGTGTTAGGGTAAGAGAGACAAAGAGATAGTGAGAGAACCAAGACTTATAGAAAATATTATCGTAACCATGATCAGCAAGAGGCCAGTTAAGTCACCTCTTTTTCTAATGTTCTCTTTAATTAATTGTATAAATTAAGTAATTCCTATTGAACATCTTACCTTTAATCGTCCCATTAAATTTGCTGCCTAGTTTATGGAATTTTGTGTCTTATTTAATTTTGCTCAGAGCTGCAAACAGTATAATCAGATTAAGAATTGTATTCATTCTATTTCGTAAAAGAGGATGAAGAACTCATACCACAAAATGAAATAAGTAGGCCTGACAGTTCCAGTGAATTTCACATAAGCTTGTTTCTCAGATGAAATACCTCTCTATGGCGGATTTCGGTTTCGACCTCGCCCAGGTCTCATCTGCTCCCATTCATCACTTTAAACGACATAGGCTGACTAAAGTTATTGCTCAAAACGTACTCAGCTCGAATACAAGTAATCTGTCGGCTGTAATTACAAATATATGGGCTGATGAGACAAGGAACGAGGTCGAATCTGCCCTCAACACTAGAACAGAATACCTTTTGGCGAGAATGATATGTTAAATTTCAATAGAACCATGATGCCAACTCATATCATATCAGTCCTTCATCACTTTAACCGAAATAAGTGAGCACATTTCTTATTCAAGTACTACTGCTGGCCTCAAAACTTTACTTGATAAAACGAAAATACCATGATCAGCACAACTAACAATTATGCTCATACTTTATCATGCCAAGTTTCTGCTGTGTTGCCCCCTACATCTGTTCTTTGGCTCAAACAGCCTCTACAAGCCCTTTTGTCTGCTCTATTGGCAATGTATGGCGGCTTAATGCTAACGGCCTGATTTCGAATTAAGTCTGGTGCGACCACACAAAAGGTCACACCATCTTGGTCTTTATACCATCGACAGGTTTGGTGCATTGATGGGAACGAGGCGAGGTCGATACTATGGTCTGATTGGGATGAAAATATCTTTTGGAAGGCATCATGAGGTTTACTTATTTGATTGTGCGAAATTTCCCTATCATACATCAATATCACCATATTCACTAGCTACTGATACCTTCGTAACATACTCATTACGAAGGTAAACACACTTTATCCACTTTCTTGCATAAAGCATTCCAGGTGCATCCGTCCACTTATTTCACTTGAATCCAGCTTGGAAGTCAGTCCAATTATAGATGAGTCAAGAGGTCTTTAAGTATTCCAGCGAAAGTTCTATGTACAAACCACTGCCCAACTCAAATTCTTGGTGTACTCTAGGCAAGAAAAGCTATTAATATTTCGTCTTATAAAAAGAGGTTCCGAGAGGTGTATTCACTCTATTTCGTTTAAGGTGATGAAGGACTAGTAGTTGAAGTTTCCCACATTAATATGAGTAGAGCCTACATTTCTATTTACTTTCACATGACTTTGATTTTTCAAAAGATTTCCTCATCCAGAGTGTACTGCTGCATCGACTCGCCTAGGTATTATCAACGCCCCCAGCGGGACTCGAACTATGACAGTTCAGTCTGTAATCTCGACACGTTAACCACTAGGCTACATTGCCACAAGTGCCATTGGGTCACAGGGCAGATGTGAATTTCAAGCAAGGCCAGACATTGTTTGGTGAGATTATAGGTGAAACAAAGTTATATTTGTGTGTGAAATTCACTCATATCATTGTGGGAAAATTCAGCTTCCAGTCCTTCCACACCTTAAATGAAATGGGGTGAATACATCTTATAAAGCTATTAATTATGTCTTGTCCTACAAGATGATGATAAACGTAATACCTACCAAATTACCAGGGCATTTACATATTTCCACACACACACACACACGTATAGACACGCACATATGCGTGTACGTCAAAAGTGCTGTTGCTCATCGCTTCATCAATTAGTCGGCCTCTTGCTGCATGGCAGCCCTACTGTTTCCTCTTTCTGCCTACATTCGAGTTGGCAATCACCCTATTATTTTGGTTATTTATTCAACTCGACAACCACCTCCTCGGTTGACCAGCGGGTTCAGTTCTAATTTCGTTTCTTTACTGACCTTACTCTTTGGTATTGTGTGTCTGTCCATATGTGCTAATATGTGCGTAAATTTATGGCTTCGTCCAATTACTTTCATTTCTCGACAAGCGTTTCAGCCTTACCTACATAACCACGCATGTCAGTGTGCTTGCGTCTTGTCTAGTCCGTTCGTGACTCAGACTTTCTGCCTCGGGCATGAACCATGTTGGATACAAGTCCGCCTCCCATAACCCGTCGACTCGAGCACTTGTGTCCACCCTTGTCCACTCGGGCGTTCCCCCAAAGTGATAATGAAGCAACACCCAATCATACACATCCAAGTCAGCCTCGTCTTCGTCAAGACCCGGCGACGGGATGCAATCCTTTCTCCCAACTCCAGTCCCAACCCCATAAGGCGGCGGGACACAGAATGACTCAATGGTCCAAATTCGATTGTAGCCCGGCCATTCTAGTGCTAATGACGTCGATTAAAGGACAGTAACACTCGGTGATAAAACGAAGAGGCTCACCTCAAGTGAGTTAAGGGCGAGGAGGACTAAGTAAAAACCCCACTGTTGTCCACCTGTCATAGAAAAAGGTCTGCATCTAATTATATCGTCCGATTCAGTCATCCTGTTCGCCTCCCTCTACTGTTCTCGTTGTCCTCCCTCTCTCTCTCTCTTTCTTTTCATTTCTCGCCCTTACTCGCTCTCGCTCTCGCCCTCTCTCTCACACACACACTCTCTTACTTACTCACTCATTCACTTTTGCCTCGGCCTGTCCAGCCAAGCCTCTTCACACCCTCGTCAGACTCGACCTTGTGGGAGAGCTCGAAAAGCCCATCGTCCTCTGGAGTATACCCTTAAAACCAAAGTTGGCATAATCAAAGATTAGAAAGAGGTTTGCGTTTGGTCAAGTGGTTGTCGGGCTGTGACGCGTCTACTTATGTACCTGCAACTCCCTGATTCAGCTTGCATTGTTGGGCTGAGGGTTGAGGTTGGACAAAAAAGCAGCTTTTATTCTTCCATCAAACTAAGGTGTTATGGCTGCTTTGATGTCGCTAGTATTGTGCCATTAAAAG